GTTAATTTGTTCAGATGGTCCTTGGCTTTGCCCCACACCACTAAGTAAAGCCCCATCACTATGAAAAAGGCTCCGATTATGCTGCAACCAGAACAAGAACAGGATTAAATATCATATTATTATTTTTAAATCAAATTAAATTAAATTAAATAATTAATTTACCTTCCAAGGTGAATTTGCTCTGCCAAAATAACGAAGCCAAGGAAGGCAGTAATAATCATGCACAGAGGGGTAAATGAGGTAACAAAAACTGGGCCACGTTGCCGAATTACCACGCCTTGAATATAATAAGCAAGCCCAGAGCATATCACACCCTGAAATAAATTTAAATAAATTATATTAAATAAAAATTCAAAAATATTTTTTTAATTTTTTTTTTATCGGTTCTTCCCGTTTTCCCATACATACGTACATACATATATACATACATACATTCATATATACATACATATATACAGAAACGTTAGTATGCATGTATATATATAGGTAAATATATTGATTTAGGTGCCGTGGTTTTAGTAAATATTTTATATTTACCGTATAAACGGCGGCAAGAAGACGAGAGTCCCAGCCGATGACCCACACGCTAAAATCGCGCTCCATAATGAGTGTGACAATGGAGCCCTCCACTGTGCCGGCGATGCATATCAAGGCGGTCAGCGACAGCTCGGCCGGGTACTTCTTCAACGTGAACGACTGCGTCCGGTCGACCAAGCAAGCCATGAGTTTTAGTTTTACGTATAAAAGTGATGGGTTTTTGAGGAGTTAAAGAGAATTACTTGCAAGATGAAGAAGCCGGACCAGCCGACGATGCTGCCGAGGAGCATGAGGGTGCCGAGGACCCAGTGTTGGTCGGCGGACTCGCTGCTGGTTTGTTGGGCGGCGTGGTGGCCATGGGCGTGGAAGATCTCGACCACCGGTCCTTTGTATAGAGTCATCACCATGGCTCCGCCGATCGTCACCATTGTTCCGGCCACCTTTGCGATGCTGCGAATCTTCTTGAAATTCACAGTTTCCAGCCTGGTTAATCAATCACACCAATTAATTTTTATTTTTTTTAATATTCTAAATTATTTCATATATTTTTTAAATATTCTAATTTTTAATATTATTGATTAAAATTAATTGAATTATGTGAAATGACCAAAATGACCAAAATTTTGATAAATAATTGAAAAATTACCCTCGGTAAAAAAGTAAAAACTAACCTGAAAACGAGAGCCATAATGAAGGTTACAGCGGGGAGAATATTAACCGTAGCAGAAGTGAATGTTGCTGAGGTAAGTTTTAACCCCACGTAGTAAAGATTTTGATCCAACACAGGCCTGTTTCAATCCAAAATCATAATAATAATTAGAGAGAGAGAGAAAAAAAAAAAAAAAACAACAACCTTAATTTATCCGAAAATTAAAATACAACATTAATAATGATAATAAAATTAAGTATATGATTATTACTCGAGGAAGCCGAGGAGAAGTATTCGAGCAAGGATGGGAAATGTCATCTTCGGCCTTATTTTCCTATAAAACAAAAAAAAAAAAAACAAAAAAATCAAAGCCAAATTCAAGGCAGATATACAGCAAAATACGTAAAGAAAGAGACTGAACCTCTCAAGAACGAAAGCGAAGGGGGAAATAACGATGGTGGCAACAAGGTGTCGATACACGGCAAGAACGTAATGGTTCATGCCCTTTTTAAGGCAAAGCATGGTGATGACGTACATCCCGGCATACCCGAACTGCAAGGAAATCATAGCCAAATAATGCTTAATTTTATGAAGCATTGCACAAATTTGAGGTCCCATTTTTGTTTGTTGTATGGAGATGTTAGGAAGAGAAGAGGATTTGAATGGTTTGAAGGTGGTGACAAAAAGATAAGACCTTATGGGCTTCTTATAGCTCATTAAAGCATATACAAAATAAAGCTAAAGCACTCAAAATTTGGTTATTTATTTAAATTAAATTGAAATTTTTAGGTTTTGTATTATCCACTTGGGAATTACATAAATTAAAATATTTGATATCCAATTAATGGTTTTTAATAGCGACACCACTAATTATATTAGATAATAAGAAAACGGACAATATCTTCTAGCGAACGGTATCAGGTCAATCACTAGACATGTAGGGCACTGGTTAGAATAAGGCTAGACTCTCTCCATGGTAACTGCGTTTTAAAACGTGAGGATGACGACAATACGTAACGGGTCAAAATGGACAATATCTACTAGATGTTGGTTTGAACGGTTACATTGAGTATTGATATATTCAATTTATCCGAGACTGGAGACCACCCTTATGATGATTAGAAACAGGTCCCTAATTCATGATTGCATGTGTTTGCATTAACATGGCTCCTAGTAGGGTCACTTATTGAGTATTGCCTCGAAATACTCACACCGTGTGACATATTGTTTTTCAAGTAAAGGCAAGTCGCCCATGTACGTTTGACGGCAACATTGTGATCAGAGACTGTGGCGCATGCATAAGATAGTTGGATATTTAAAATTCATAATCTTAATTAGAATAGGTGTTTGCATTTCATTTATTTAAATTATTTAATTTGTAATTATTTTTATCTTATTTTGAACTCGAGCACCATGTTTGAAACATGTGAGTCTAGTAATATTTTCTAGTGATTCAATGTATTATGAAGTTTTAAAATTTTTTGCTATTTAAGATGAGCATCTTTAGAGTTATATTCTGCATTGGAGATGAGCATGAGACATTAGTGGCGACACTGCATATGTGGAAATTTAGAGTCGTTACATCCACGTTAAATTAGAGTTATCTGTGTTCATTTTGTTTGTCTCAAATATAATTAGATGAATCTACAATACGCTAAGTTATTTTATACCTAAATTAGATATAAATATTTCTCGAATTTATGTGAAATTCGACTTACATAAACATTTGAAGCGAAAAATAAAAATAAAAATAAAATAAATAAATAAGGACATTTTTTAAACTTTTACGAATACAAAATACATTTTAATATTTTATTTTAATATTATATATATATATATATATATATATATATAAAGTATTATTAATTTATTTTATTATTGACGTGAGCAATGAATAAAAATTATGATAAAGTATCCCAATAACCCAGTGATTAAGCTATATAAACATTAATTATTTAATTAGATATTTATTAATTATTGGACGAAAAAACCCACTTTAAATAATTGGAATATTAGTGGCCGACTTTTGTTTGTGGCTGTAAATAAAGTGAATCCGATTCATATAAAATTATATCCCAAACATTAATACAATTATTGTCCAAGGGCAATTCCGTCATATTGCATAAAAAAAAGCTATTCCACGTGAAAATTAAGAGTTAAAAAATTGGGAAAGTAATTGAATATTGTTGCTTACTTTATTAAGATATTTAAGTTTTTTATTATTAGTTTATTAATACTAAATTTAATGACTAAACAAATCCATTATTATATCAATCCATGGAATATTTGTTTTTCGATTTTATTTATCAATAAAATAAATATTTTTTTAAATTTTTTTAGATAAAATTTTTAAAAACATTTGTTTTTGTTATATAAATAAAGGAATTAATGTGACGTAATGGTAAATACTTAGTATAATATTTATTTATATTTAAAATTATTGGAGAATTTGGGTTTTTTTTACAATACATCAAATAAAGTGTCACACATTTTAATAATTAATAATAAAAAAAATAGAAAAAGAGGAGTTGTTAATTTAATTAAATAATATTTCGCCAAAAATCAATTAGCTAGTATTCCATGGAGGAGCCAGGTGGTGCGTATTCCACATTGGAGGCTAATTGGTGGACACGTCACTGAATCATTTGCGACTAAGACGTGGTGGGGAATTTATTTATATATTTATTTATTTTTCTTGTGGATGAAAATAAGTAGGTGTAAGCATTTATTATATATTCGAGCCATATTAAATTTAGAACCAAAAATAAAAAAGAAAACAAAGGATATATCAGACCAATATTCTTTTTTTTTTTTAAATATGTGATTTATGATAAATATTCAAATATTGGTTAATTCTATATCGAAATTGAACCACTCATCAAATAGAACCGTCATTGTTTTCTCAGTCATTTCTTATTCTATAATTTCTAGGTCAACTTGGTCTCAAAAGATTTAATCACGTATTTAAATTTAACATCGATGACACGTAACCATTAAATACTAAGACTAAATTCATATTGATTTGTATTGATTACCAATTTACACTTTGCAAGTTAGAACATATCTGAGAATGTTTGCTACATCTGTGTGAAAGTTCTCTATTTATAATCCAATAAATTACAATAATATGAAAATAGAACAATAAATGAAAAACTGCCTATAGTGAGAAGGTAAATATTTAGATATTTGCGTATAAGAAAATATCAAATATGATATATATATATATATGGTAAACTATAATGTAGTACTAAATATCCTTAACAATATCAAATTCTAATTAGTTTATTGATCTAGCAGGTACGAAAAGTCAATTAAATCTCAACAATAATTCACAATTATATGTTAATTGATACGAGAATGAAAGAGAAAGGATCGCAATTCAAAATAAGAAAACTATTAAGCCTCACATTCCAAGTTCCAATTAGTAAGGGAGCTAGAGTCCAACAAAATTATTCAAAACTTTAATAAATCATTGGTGTATTGACCTGGTGTCATGCATGAATGAATAGTTTAAGCACATATCAAATCCCAAGAAAATAAAAAGGGGGGGGGAATGGAGCCTTTATGAAAGTCCTGGCAAAGAAGACATGCATATTATATGCAATATATGATGAAGTGCCCATAATTCAAAAGCAAAATTGCCATAAAGTGAGGATTGAAAGAAGGGGTGAAAGTAAGTTGCCATTAATCTACAAATCCCAAAAGGAATCTAATTTAATTATTGGCCAAACTTTCCTCGTGTAAAATAGCAAGTAATAACCCCAAAGCAAGAGACTCCATGTACATAAAGTTCTTCAAACAATGGTTTTTTTTAATCCTTTTCTTCGAAGGAAGTGAAGTGAAGTGAAGTTTGCTGTAGGGATCAAAGAAATGATGATTGATTGATTGATGGTCAAGCCAATCAAAGATGCAATAGAGGAAAACAAAAACAGCCTTGCTTGAGATGGCAAGGCAAGCCAAATAAATTTTCAGGATTGGCAAAATAGATCATGTGGTCGGCGGAGTGGGAAGTCGGGGAAAGGACCATCCTACCCTTCATGAAAAGAACTATTGGGTACCCTATTTTGTAACTTTAAAGAGATGAAAGAAGTTAGGTCATATTTCGTAGCTAAAGGCTTCAGTTTTTTGAACTGTCACAACATAAGAAGAGATCAATTCTAACAAAAAGACGGGTTTTTGCAACAAACCAAGGAGAGATTGAGTGAACTTACAAGTTTGGAACTCTGGTAATAATTCAAGTGAGAGAGATGCACCGTGGAGATAAGAAACCTACAAAACTTTCAATTGAATATTGTGTTTGCTCATGTGTTAGCAACTTTTGACCAGGCCAAATTCTCTCCTTTTCTACACCTTTTTCCCTCCCCATCCTCCCTTTTTATGCAAACCCTTTTTCTGAAGCATAAACGAATGTCTAGTCACTGTCACAAAAAAAATGAATGAAAGAAATTAGTGAATGAAATAAAGATTAGGAATGGATGGCGTATTTGAATAGATTATGATAATGGTGGTCAATAATTTCATGCAAAGAGAAATATAGTCAAATATGGTATAGTAGAAAGTGAAAACGACAATATATATATATATATATATATATATTTTGTGAATAAAATAATCCATGCGATGCATCTCAAAGGGTTCTCATCTTTTATCTCAAGTTGGAATAAAAGATTATTTATGTTTTTCTTTAAAAAGAAATTAAAATACAGCCTGAGATTAGAATTTAATTACAGAACCAGACTGCTTATCTCCTACTGCAAGGCAGCTGCTAGTTTCTTCTGAATGAGCTCCACCCCGAGACGAGGAGATAGCCGAGGAAGAGTTTCCTGGTACAAATGTTCATGTATTAGTAAGGTAAAAAAATTAACCTAAATATTCAAAAGAACATGCTCTAAAGTGCAGAGTTTCTATGTGAATTTCAGATTCAGGAATGATTTAATTGCACACGAAAAGGGACCCAATGTGTTTAGCATTACACGGAAAATATTAAAAGCGCCCAAAAAAAAAGGAAAATGAAAGGATAGAATATCTCTGAAGTCTAGAGTCTGTAAGAACTTTTGAACAATATTACGTCAATTTGCTTCATTTGACACGTGGCACTGTTGTTAAAAGGAATTCCACCAATTAAAGCAAGTTTCCATTGATGAAAATTGGGTCAAAAGATTAATAATACAAAAAAGGAATCAACACCCATCAGCGAGCAACGAGTCAAGATTAATAATACAAAAGAGGAATCAACACCCATCAGTGAGCAATGAGTCAGGATAAGCTAGTGCCTGTCTGCGAATGCTTTTGTGTTGTTAGTTCATGACAACACGAAACAGAACATATGGAAAACTCAAGAGACCAAAATTTATGTGAACAGAGCACAAAAACCACAGAACCTAGAGTTTGCTAACTTGCCGTCTGTGTAACCAAGTATCATCTTAAAAAAAACTAATTGAGATAGTAGAATAGAGATCATTGTAACTCTAAATGTATCTGGATATTCTCCCATGTCAAATTACACAAAACGGAATATATATATATATATATTTTATAAGAGACAATTGCATTGATAATTGAAATTTACAAAAGAGATGTATAATCCATGGTGTTTACAAAAGACCTTCCCAAGTTGCAACGAGGGAGGTATAACTATAGGAAGTAAAAACAGAATAATTGAGAATATTACTCGGTATCTAACAAAAGGAAACACATCTTTTCTACATATAAAAAATGAACAATGGTTTATCATAAACTTTGAGACAGTAGCAAGCTAAATTTCTAGACCCGAGCTCCAATAAATACTAAACCCAGTTTATGGTAAAAAAATACAATTATACACCTGGCCTAGATTTCTAACTCTGCTGCTATCCCTTGCCAGTTACGAGATATCAGAAATACATGAAACATGACAACTTTAGCAACTTACACAAAAACAGATTGCCTAGATTTATAAATCTACTGTTATCACATATGGGACATTAGAAAATACATGAATTCTAATTACTGTTTAGGGTTAAGAGGTCAAACATCAAAGGAAAGATAGTCTTGAATGCTTTCATTTAAAAGAGAAGCCTTTGTAGATAAAAATATCTGAAGCTAATCAAATGATTACTTTAAGTACATAGATTATCATAATTTTGAAAATTTACATGCTACATAACATCCATAAATTAGTGGAAACAAATTATGATACAAATTTTATTATAGGGACTCTATCAACACAAAATCAAATCGTACAAGGCAACACATAAAGGGTCCAAAAGAAGGAACGAAAAGATGAAGACATTAGACCTAAGCAAACAGACACACGGCATAAATAAGTCCGCAATAATGCTCGAAAACTAAAAGAAAAAATGAACGATTGTCCAGATAAAACATCTTAGAATCAAACTATACAAAGGGAACATGAAATGTTAAAATTTTATTATAGAACATATAATTTTAATAATCACACTGCATAGCTCTTTGTTTTCTAGGATTGCAAGATTGTTTAATTTATTTTCTAAAGAATTTTCCAGAAACAAGTATCAAAATAAAAAATAATTATCTGAGTCAAGATATTATTATAAAAAAAAAAAATCAGATTAAAAATTATTGGTATAAATACAATAAATGAAAACTACGTTTATCCTCTTCCCCTATCCAAAAAAGGAAAAGAAAAGAAAAGGTGAACAAAGTAATGTAAGTGACAATTCGTCACGAACTTTAAGAGAAGAAAGTACAAGGTTATAATTGGGAGAAGAAGTACACGGTTACAAATGTGCAAATAATTCCATACGGCAGCATAGGCTACCACGTCAGGCAAAGGTAGTCGAGGCGAAAAAAACATATTCCATTTGGCTTGAAGAATTTCGAACATAATTATACCAAAAAAAAAGTCTTAAGAGTCATAGTATTCCTCAAATAATTACGTTAATATTTTCACTTTTAGTAAATGTAGCAGTCATATTACAAAATCACATGTAGGTAGAGATTTGAACCGACAACTTCTTAGAAGAAGTAGAGATGATTTAACTATTGAGCTATTTTCATGTTGACAACTTGACATTGGTCATATACTTTCAAAATTTTGCGTTATGTTATATTCTTTCCATAGATTTTGGTGATTACAATCCTTTCCTTCAATAGTTGCCAATTGAGAAGCAGTTTTGTAAGTTGTTTGGCCTGTAGGGAGGTATCTTCTTTTCTTTCAAGAGAGTTTTTTTTAATGATTTTTTAACTGAAAAAGAAAAAAATGTACACTATCAAGTGCCGAATCCGGATTAAGCTATTTTTCTTTTAATGATCAACAATAATAATAATAGAAAAAGTCTAACGCCCCACACCATCAGGTGTCCAATCCGGATTAAGCTAGCATGAGTAGTTGAAATCTTTCAGTGAATTGAATTGACTGTCTAAAACTATGCTAAGTTTGGAATCATGTCGTGCATGGTGTTGTATTGAGAAACGTGAGGAATAAATCCTAACCTAAAATTTGTGATTTGACAAAAATGGCACCTAAAACTAGAGGAGGAATTAGCAGGCGTCGTACAGGGGGTGGTAAAGCACAAACCACCGATGTTCCCTCTCAAGAGACGCCTGAGATAGAGGCAACCCAGGTCATTGCGCTAGACATGGCGACACACCCGTCACACAACATGGTGACCATGTTGAAGGGAATGCAGGAGAATATTGGAGTCATCAGGTGTCGAATCCTAAGCATGAAGCGTTACAAAAAGGCAGCTCTCATAAGTGACACCTATTGAGCAACAACTCCCTCTCAGTCAAGTCAGAAAATAGGTGAACATGAGTAATACACGTCCCTTAGGGGGAACTCCCCATGGGTCCTCATGACTGGAAGGTTATTAAGTTTTGGAATCACACAAAACCAAAAAAGAAATAGTTCAACATTTTGTGCTCATTATCTTTACTAGATTTTCTTTAGAGATGCCACCTAGGTGACAGACTTAATCTCATCGACTGACCTCCATTGTTTGAGGGATGGTTAAGGAGAGAGATGCATTTGAATGCTTTCCAAATGGTAAATGGCTTCTAACATAGAGATGAAACTAATATGAGAGAATATTCCGAATGTATGGACCTTTATGTTACTTGTATCTTCATATACATTACTTTTTAGGGGAACCTAGTTTGAAATTTGTTAATTCACAGTAAAACCCTTCCAATAGCTTACTTGTTTCATATTTCCCTCCGCAAAACGAAACCAACATCACAATTGGTTCACTTCGTACTATGAGTCCCAAGAAGGTATAGCCCTAGCCAGCTTAGTTTACAGAATACTTGAGCAATGGAAATAAAAAGGTACATCTTTCCAACATAGGAGTTTCCATTGAAATAGGCCTCTGCATCTTTACCAATAGAGGTTATTAATGTTATCAGCCCAATTCCTAAGTTTAAAATGTCATGTAGTTCAGAAAATTCATAAAACCTATATATGTGCAAATCTGTGGAGCTCATTCAATTGTTACAGCATCATTTCAACAAGCCATCGTTGGTAAAGCCCTTATGATTGACCGGTGTTCAAGAAATGTTATCAGTAAGATTACTGTGGATCTAAGCGAGCTTCTACGAAATCCGTTCACCAGAAGACTTCTTTTGTTGCACGTCGTGTTGAGTAATAATTTTCAGTATGTTTCATTTATGAAACAGGAAAACAATATGACCATTTAAACGCTTAGGTCCTATACTGATTCCTTCACGATGTAGTACAACTACCAACTCTAACTGTCACAGTTTCAAACACCAAGGAAACCTATTTGTAGAGGAGACCTTCTATTTAGATAAGGTCGTGGTACACAATGTTTCAAACCTTCACTGAAGAAATGAACTATTCAGTGGTTCAGTATCCTAGTTGCAGGGGTTTTCTTCTTATTCTTTTTTCTTTGTCTTTTTATTCTTTTTACACTTAATGTGACCTTGGGCACTCAGAGTGGCTTTGAATTATGCAGGATGACTATGTCGAGACAGATTAGGGAGAGAAAAACTAAGGAAGCAAAATACTTTAAACAGTCAGTACAAAAAATTATTAAACCAAGGAGATACGAAACAATTTCCAGTACACTGATAAAACCTCCCTCGTTGAACTAATCACAATCCCAGCTGGATTCATACTTATTGTCATGTATAAAACTTAAATGAGGAAAGACGATGAGGTGACCAACTCATAGGAACTGATAAAACTCCACCGTTAAATGCAAGAGCAAGGGTTTAGTAATCAATCTAGTGCAACAAGGACTTAAAACACAAGTGGAGGGCAAAAGCATCTCAAGCATTTTATAAATCCTATGCACAGTTCTACATTAAAAGCCCCAGAAGAGCTCAACAAATCTGAAATTAGACACACTCCTTCCCTAATAAGTTAAGACCGTCAAAATACAACGAATGAATGAATTAACAGAACCAACCTCCGAGCCATCAGAGAGAACTTTCGCCAGCACAGGAATCTCATACTGGTAAGCTCTCTCCCATTCAGGATTAGTAGTAATATCCCTCACCTACTCAAAACCAAACGACACAAATAAAAATCAACGCTGAAAACAGGAAACGAGTCACAATGAGAGAGGAGTGAAATGAGTACCAGTAAATCAACGTCGTGGAGAGAATTAGGGCCGGCGAGCAGAAAGGCAGCCTGTAGTTTTTCTTTAAGCCCATCGCACAAACAGCATCCAGGCTTCGAGTACATAATCAATTTGCGAGAGGAAACTGAAGATGAAGAGAATGAAGCTGCAGGAGTAAGAATCCGACGGCCTCTTTGCGCTGCTAGCAGCAACGTTGAAGAAGGTCGCGACATTATCGCAACAGTCGCAGATATCATTCTTCCCGATTGGTCTCGAGTTCCGGTGATTGGAATTGGGTTCCTTCGACGGGGAATCTCCAGCCGCTGATAAAAAAAATAAATAATTTCTTTTAAAAAAAAATCGAAATTAACGCAAGTACTTATTTATTTATATAATTTAATACGAAAATTAAAACTGTCCATAAATGGGCTTCTTCCTGTAAATGGGCTTAGGCCCAACTCGGTTCCATCAACCGTCCGTTTCGGGCTTGTGAATATTGGACTGGGCCTCATTGTGTTCATATTGGGCTTTCCAGTACCGTAATGCCCAAATTCATTCCCATTCCAAATTAAATTACATATTTTATCGCCGACAAAATTTAGAATTTCTCACGAGATTCATTATAATATTTAAAATTATATATTTTTTAATTTAAATTTAAAAAATAATAAAAATGATTAAAAAAGTATTTATTTGACTGTTACAATGCGACCGATAGATTTATATTATCATAGGTGAGAGAAATAAATTATTTTTTAATTTAATAGTTATTACGAGATGTACATAATTATTTTTTATTTAAATTTTTTTGAACTTTTTTTTATAAAAAAAAAAAATGTTAATTCTCTTTTTAAAATTGGTAAGAATATTTTTTAAACATAATATAATTTTTTTAAAATTATTTTTAGCCTATAAAATGTATACCTGAATCATAGAAATTTAATAATTAAATACTATGTATGAGTACCAATATTTAGATTATAAATCATAATTAAAATTTTAGTTTTAAATATATGTTTTATAAAGTTTAAAAATAAATAAAACTTTATTTGGTATTAAATCCATAAGTAAATATATATTAAAAAAAAAACAAAATTGAATAATCATTATCGGAAATAAAATAAAAAAGGAAACTTCCACCCAACTCCAAGCAACAACAAAAAGGTCCTATTTGATTCTCCGCGTACGAAAAATAAAATTAAAGGGAATGAAATGTCACATGCAAAAGCGAATAAAATTTAATTTCCAAGATTCAAATTAATTATTTTAATTACATTAAATTAAATTAAATAATTTCCCACTACGGAAACTAATTTCGAGGAACAAAACCGAGGTGGCGACAACATGTGAGACGAAAAGGCAAATATAATTAATTTTAAATAAAATATTTTAAATTGGGGTTTAGGAATGTGAAATTTAATTATTTATTATTTATTTGACAACTGTGTACGGACTCACGACACTGTTTGTTTAGCTTATGTACTTTTCTTAGGGAAATAAAACGACAGTATAATATTTATATATTAAATGAAATATCCTATGACTATGACGTGACAGCTGGTTTGGATTTCATTTATTAAAACTTTAGGGTACACTCACACCTCCACATTTTCAGACACAAAATATGTCGTCAGTACGGATGAGTAACAAAATTATCATATTCCAAAATTTAATAATATCTATTTATTACCTATCATATTTTTTTCAAAACTCTCCTCAACCGGTTGGGTCGTGTCTTTTTGTTTGTTTTAGCCGCTTATCCTAAAGTCTTTTCACTGAGAGATTTTCGACGATGACATAGGAACTACCTCGTTTGTTGTACGTCACAGTCGCACTCTCGTGAGACGTTTGTAAGCGATTATGCGTCACTCACTCTCACCACTAAGTGAGTCTGCCAACTTGAAATCATGTCGTGTTCGGCTTGACAACATGTACCTAAGCTGCCTCTTGTTGGATGATAAAAGTCCCACATCGGCTAATTTAGGGAATGATCATGGGTTTATACGTGAGGAATACTAACTCCATTGGTATGAGTCCTTTTGGAAAGCCCAAAGCAAAGCCATGAGAGCTTATATATAGCATATAACTCCTGCTATGAAGAATTGACGACTAGTTGCATCCTCTTATAATAGACCTAGACGACACGCAAGGGGTTTGACATGCAACGTGCAAGCGATCATTGACAACACGCCTTAGACAAGTATGACCGTGACACTGAGCTAGAGTAGTTTTTTTGTTTAGACGATAATAGACCTAGACGATCATCTCTATCCTTTTGTTGCTCAATGACTAACATAAGAACTATCAATTTCAATGGTCAATGATTAGATCGTTTACTTCAATTGTTGAATTACAAAAATATCCTTTTACATTTTAGAAGTGCAAAATAGGTTCGTGAGATTTAAATATAATGTCATATAAGATATTGTCGTGTTTCTTGTTTTGGTTGAATGACTATAAGATAAGAATCAAACTATTGACTTTTAGAGTGATGAAGCTCGAATCTTTAAATATTTAATTTGCTGTCTACGGTGTGTTTTTACCTACTTAACATTTGTACCCAAATCGATCGAGCTACTTCATTCACCTGGTAACATATATGCAATGAGTTCAACAATAAAAATAGTTATGAGATTAAGATCGATATAACCAAGTACGACTTATAAAGCATCTTGCAGTAACCTAACACTTTTATAAAACATATGATATGTCAACTAAACCTTCGGGGGTAACTGAAAAATGACAATGAAAACCTCTTGCGATAGTATCAAAAGTATACGTTATGTATACACAATACCAACCCGACTTCAAAGCTCTAAAATAAAGATCGAATAGATAACCGAGGATTTCATCCAATCAGATTTCAATGATGAATCGAGACGATCCCCGGGCAGAAACACATTATAAAATAAAATGCGGGGAAATTCAAAATATTCAAATAATTTAGTAGTTATGATAATGTTTTTTTTTTCAAATATTTGTGACGTGCTGACGTTCTGGCATATAAACAACAATATATTTATAGATATTAGCCGATATCTTGTAGTTGTATTTTGAGGCATTTTCCTTTTTTTTTAAAAAAATTAAATATATTTTACAATTTTCGTGCTGGAAATTGGATTAATATTTAGTTAAAATAAAATAAAACCTTTTTGAATTTTCTAAAACGTACAAATCCGAGGTACTAGTTGTCAAGTGGGTCCCGACGGCTATATATAACATTATATTAAAAATATATATATATTTTTCGTCAAATCAATCATTACATTAAACGAAATATATGTATATATAAACATATGGTACTTCAATTTATTATTATTGTTTTAAATAACTCGTCATTAAATGGCATCCAATCAATTATTTATATCTAAGCTGTAAGTTTGAAAAAAATAAAAAAGTTCCTTTTTTGAGTGAGAAACTGGAAGCTTCGTGTGGGTTTCTGTTTTTATTTTATATTTTCGACTTTAAATAATTAATTTATTAGAGTTTAATTTGAATAAATTTCACAACATAATTCAAGTTGGGTTGGTATAACGACTCAGATCCATCGCTGGGTCTCGAATGAGGTAGACACGAGGCGGTGTGTCAGTAACAACGCTGACCCCAAAGAGAAGTGGATTTGGGATGATCCCACATCAATTGAAGAAAGAAAAGAGTGCAAGCGAGGACGCTTGTCTCGAAAGGGATAGATTGTGATGTTCCACATTGGTTGGGGAAGATAATAAACTAGAATTATTTATTTTTATTTTTGTTTAAAATCATATTTATTATATTGATAATTAAAATTTAAATATGGTAAAGCATATTTATTCATAGGCCCACCTTGGAAAGCACGTCATTTTCCATAAAAAGCTTCCTGTTTGGCGTTTTATTTTTTCCCCCCTCAAATTTTTCTTTTTATAAAAGAACCCCTACACTTTAATCTAATTACAATAAACAGAGGCGTTTTATGATTTTGATTGGCCGTACGTACCCATCAGAATCTGAAATTTACAACTTGGCCTCACACCATTTATTATTAATATATTCATTGGTAAGAAAGTCAAGTCATCCCTCCGTAAGCAGTTTTTAAAAAACGGTTGAGACGTCATTCTTTTATTTTCCTTTTTATTTTTGTTTAAATTTATTAAATTAAATAAATAAAAAAAAAAGAAATTAAAATTACTAAAAGATAAGCGATGTTGTAAAACGCGTTTTTTCAGCTGCATGCATGACAGTGGAGCAACAGCTGTTGGTTCGAACTCCATCACACTCCGCGTCTTTCAGTTTCAGTTTTTTTTTTTTTTTTTTTTTTTTTTCCTTTTTGCATGTAGGCTGATGACAGGGATAGGGAGAGGGAGAGGGAAAAGGCAAACCTTTTGAAGGAGGACATGGACGGTTCTGCCACCTCCAAGAGGCGAAAACTTAAAAGGGAGCATCTGTCATTAGCTGAGGCCGGTGAGTATTCTCCTGTTGGCCAACCACCTCCTCCGATAGGTGTTGGTGCGTCTCAATCTTATGATGGACGAGAAAGAGGAGACCGGAAGGGAGTAATGATGCAGCGTGCCGGTTACCTGGACGACCCAGGCTTGAGAATTCACGGTAAAGAAGTGGTCAACAAGATGACTAGACGTGAAGCTGATCTGTATCCTTTAAATCATATCTCCATGCNTTTTTTTTTTTTTTTTTTTTTTTTTTTTTTTTTTTCCTTCTCTTTCTCCCTTTTTTGAAAATTAAAATTTTATTTTCAATTATATTTTATAATAATAAATATAATATAAGATTAGCGGGTGGGAGCAAGGGTAGAGACGGGAAACATAATTTCTATTTCCGACTCCGTTCAACTAACGTTGCAAACTCTCGCCCACTCCCTCTTGTAAAATGGGATTCCTCATATTTTTTAAATCGGATTCTCATAAAGTTCTGATCTCTTGAGATAAGCTTACATTTCTAAACGTAACGTTAATTTTGCAATCGGTTCAAAATATGGGAAGTTAGGGAACTCTTACGGTATGTTTTTGTCTCTTACGTATGTAAATTTGTTCGTTGAAATTACATTTTTGCCCTTCTAAGTTGGTTTTGTTTGGGGGAGGGTTATGCGTTAGTGTTGAATAGCACATGGTAAGCCCCTGGATTTCTAGAATAAGAATTTAATATGAAATTAAAGATATTTTCTTGGTCTTCTAACTGAAAGTTAAAATTTATTATTATTATTATTATTTTTTATAACAAAGTTTGACTCTTTGTAAATAGAATTCCGTGACAGTGAAAAATTCAACTCTTACGGTATCCAATAAAACATTTATATTTAAAACGGACATAATATTTGTAAAAATAATGTAAAATTTGAGGATTTTGAAGGGTAAAATAGTCATTTCAACGCACATGTCCCCCATTCTTGCATGTGTTGTGAGCCCTACTTGATTGACTAAGAGATAAGCCATTTAGAGATCCATACTCGAATTTCATTTCCTTATAAATCTCAGACCCTTTAGCCCTTTCCTTCACTTGACCATCACGTTTTTCATAATCAAACCACTCTCACAAACACTTCCCTTGTGAAAAAATGGTGAAGAAATCGGAGAAGACGGCGGCGGAATCGTTTCCTGTGGCGGCGCCGCCGTGTAAAAAGAAGTATAAGGGTGTTAGAATGAGGAGTTGGGGGTCGTGGGTATCGGAGATTCGAGCGCCGAATCAAAAGACGAGGATTTGGTTAGGGTCTTATTCGACGGCGGAAGCTGCGGCGCGTGCTTACGACGCGGCTCTTTTATGTCTCAAAGGCACTTCTGCTAGCCTTAACTTCCCGGAAATTGCTAACTCTATTTCAATTTCCGATCACTGCCACTTCCGCCGCTTACACCACCATATTGATTCCTCCGATGCCGACATTATGTCTCCTAAGTCCATCCAGCGTGTCGCCGCCGCTGCCGCTAATGGCTTCCGGGAAAATGTCTCCTCCGCCGTTGTCACACCCCCATCCCCCGCCGTCTCGTCCCCGTCTCTCTCCTCCGATCTTCCGGACGATGAAGCGTCGATCACCGTGTCGTCCGATGGTGTCTACGATCAAATCGATCCGTCGACGGCGGAGATGGATTCATGGTGCAATTACTTTGATACCCTTCAGTCGCCGAAATTCATTGACCAAATGCTCACCGAAGCTTGGTTCGATTTCGGTTCGATTCCGGCGGCCGAAATTCCCGATTTTTACGAGGAAGAAAGCGACATCAGATTGTGGAGCTTCTGCTGAAGAGGAAAAAAAAAAAAAAAAAAAAATTACATTATATTATTTTTTTTCTTGTTTAAAATCTTCTTAAATTTGTGAAGATATTACTGACAGTGACCAAAAATATTTATTTATTTATCTCTTTGGTGTGTTTGATTCAGACTCGAACCAACGACCTCTTGAGATTTAGAGTTTTTTTCCCCAAGAAATCTCTCAGAGTGTTGGTTTTGTGATGAAACTTTATGTAATGAGTAATTAAAGTATTAATTGTTGATTATATTATAATTATATATTAATGGTAAAACTTTAATTTCCTGAGTTTTTTTTTCTTGAATATTGAAGAATTTTAATTAACTTCCTTAAAATTTGTTTAGCCATATGCCATATATATATATAGGTCAATCATTTTTGTCGTATTATTCACATTGACACTCGACAACTGACATCTCGACACTTACATCGACGAAGAACGTAGCGAAAGGCGATACTTGGTGTGAGTTGTAGGACACTGCAAACCACGAGTCTTTGAACACGAGCTGCACCCTAAACCCACGGGCTCAATGCATGTCTATTTGGGCATTAAACATTGCTTCCCCACATGCAACACCCACTTAGGTTCGTTGCATTAGCAAGGACATGTGTTGTCCTCTCGTGCACACTGTCATGCAAGTGACTTAAAATTTAGTCCTTAGACACCTATTGTTGTGACATTTGAGTTTTTAGAAATTAGGTTAAATATTATATTATTAAATATATTATGAGTTTTTAGAAATTTAATTTCATATAATCAACTAATTAATTAATATTTTATATTTTCCACTTGCAAACTCTATTAAAAAAAAAAATAAATTAAATGGTTGAAATTTTATTTTCATGATATGACATAAAAACACGACCTAGAACATTATATTCATCCAATCAAAACCAAGTATATGAGTATTGCTGGAGAACTTATTAATTTGTTTTATTGGATAAAAATAAAATAAAACAAAATATATTATATTATATTATATCGACAAAGGAAATCAAACACAAAATTGAGTACAAGCAAATGTCGCTCTCCTTCTTTAATTAATTTAGCTGCATATTTGTTGCAAGCNATATTCCATTTTGTTCTAAAAAAAAAAAAAAAAAAAAAAAAAAAAAAAAAAAAATTAATGTAGGACCAATTTTATGGTGAATTCGGGTCGGTTTATTTAAATTTTAGGTTATATTACACGCTCGGGTTGAAAATTTTGCTGGCTAATTGAATGACTGCGTGTTTTAAATTTGAAAAATTGCATAAAAAGAATATTAAAATTTTAAAAGTCTGATTTATTTATTTATTTTTATTCAACTTTTAAAGGGAATAAGTGGACTTTAGGTTTGCAATAAATAAAATTATTACCTTTTGTTTAGACTAAATTGGAATATAAATTTATAATTTAATAAAAAAATAAAAAATTAGAAAAAAATTAAGATGTCTGCTTAAATATTAAAAAATATAATAATTAAGTGAAATTAACCTTTTGTTTTTTTTTTTATGAAAAGATTAAATTGAGAAGTTTTAATATATTTAAAATATAATAAAGAATTATAAAATCCAATGGGCCAGGCTTTGACGCGTTTTTGCCAAGAATATAGTCTCCATTACGAGCTCTATCAGGCTTTGATTCCACCCAACGGGGGTCCATGTGGTGGTTAGGGTTTCGGTTGTTGATCGATTTGGACCCGTAGATCCAACAGTGCAAGGTGAAGCCCAAATCAGCGATGGGGTCATGGATTCGTACTAGTTTGATTTTTCACTACAGCCGGCGTTCCATCTTGGTTAAGACCTTCGTCCTAAAGTTCTTCTCTATCCGGCGGACTTCTTTGCGCTGAATTCGAGTTTTCTGCTTCAGTATGGCTAAGGAGGTTTACACCAGGGAAGAGTTGCTTGCGCTGTTGCAGGTCCTTGGATTTCTCGCTCCTTTTGTTCTATTTTATTCAATTTTATTCAATTTCGATTGATTAAGTTTTACTATTCGTGCTGTACTTCGGAGAATAGGTTTCTTTTCTCGTGATTGAATGTTAGAGACCTGTGGTTGAGTTTTTGTAGAACTCTGCTGATTCTTCTTGTTTTGAGATTGACGTCATAATTTACTTGCTTGGAGTAGCGCTGATAACAGAGTGGCAGAAGTTTACTTTTGTTTCTATCGAAATTTATAGTTTATGTACTGCCGCTAGATTATGTGCTTCTTTGCTTAATTATCTGTCGTTACCGATTGAATTCAGATGATTATATTATGTGTGTTTGCTTTTTTTTTTTTTTTTTTTTTCTTTTCTTTTTGTCTCATTTTCGCTCGCTAATGCAATTAAGAATGCTCTGTAGGATCTTCAAATTGATTTTTCCAAGTACGAACATCCGGCTGTATTGACAGTTGAAGCTCAGGTAATTCTGTATGAAACAAACGAATGAAATCATCCTTGTCATTCTATTGTTAATTTTTTTTAATATATAAGTTAACGGAAGCATGTTTTTTTGAATCTTCATCAGGCAAAATATGTTGGAAATTTGGGGGGTGGTATCAGTAAGAATCTGTTTTTGAAGGTAGACTTCTGAACAAACTGTTTCTGCCCCATAATTCTAGTTATTAGAGTATTGCATTCTATATTACAACGTATGGTTTAACGTCTGCAATATTTTCCGCGCATTGGCAGGACAAAAAGAATAGATACTATGTAGTTTCAGCATTGTCACAGACCAAAGTGGACCTGAAAGGTCTGTACATTTTACTAATGGCTGTGATTTGTTTTTAAACTTTTTCTTATGAAGGGTCAATCTTGTCCGTTAATGTTCGTTTATGATGGGTTTCTTGAAGATACAATGTCTATGATCATGTATTTATGGTGCGATGTGATTCACGGTCAATTTTAGTCATGCAGTTCTATCTGCAAGACTTGGTTTGGGGAAAGGAGGTCTGAGAATGGCTCCCGAGGAAGCATTGGGAGAGAAACTTAAGGTTAGAAATAGCCATTTCAGGGATTTCACACTTAAATAATTCTTTTACTTCATTGTGTTGGATCTTTCATGTGCTCATTTTTTTTTATCCAATTGGACAGTTCTGATGCCATAGTTCATTGTTTTTACCTGCCTTGTTTTATTAGCAATGATTTTTATGGTCATGGAAGCATGTGTAATAAACCAGCTTAGTGGTCACTCAAATTTTTTTATTGCCTTTTACATTAATGTGAATGTGTTTTCTAACTAAGTAGCTTACGTGATTGAATTTAATTTTAAGGTAGACTGCATGTGTGAAATTGCAGTCAAATTCAATTAAGAATATCTGATTTAAATTAAGATTAAGCATTTTAACATTGTTGAGGAGGTTAAAGGTGTGAAGCAGCATGGGGTATATGCCTCAGTTTAAATAAAAGACACCAATGTAACTCATATAAGTATTACATTCGGTATTATTGAAATGAAATGATTGCATAAAAGTGTGTGTGTCTGTATTTATATATTCTTTAATTATCTTCTGTTTTTTTAGAACTTTGGGGGTAAAAGCACGAACGGTCTGTAATACCACAACTTATGGCGTATTAGCAATAAATACTGTAGAGACTTCTGATATTTTGGAGAAATAGTTACGAATTAGTATTATTCTTCAGCCACTTTATCAGAAATAAAGACTAAGTTTTAGTTCATTCTCAGGGCATGAAACAAGGGATATTAACTTACAAGTAATCAACAATATGTAATCATCCTAAAAAGTTACAGTTTTGGTTCAACTATTTAATTATTTGCAAAAAGTCATCGGCATCAAAGAAATAGATGCAGGGAACCCTAAAGGAGTCGATGAATTGCAATATCCTTGTTGAAACATGATATGTGAAGTTAATTCGTTTATTTAGTCGTGTCATTTTGGCATGGCTCTAAGGATTTCTACTGCATAAGTTACTTTCTCTTGCACCAATTAATTGATGCCATTCAATTTATGCTAGTTATGCAGAGGTGTTGACATTTCAATTGTACAGTTCTAGATTCTTATTCAGATGGCTGTCATGTGATTACTTCTATTTTTATTTTCATTTGTTGCTCAGGTGTCGTTGGGTTGCGTTACTCCATTTGCACTCATCAATAAAACAGCACGGTAATGTATTAATATACTCCTTGGCAGTGAATTTTATTTTCACGCATCTATCAACAGTTTACCCAAATTTTGTTCTTGACATGTTTTATTTTTCACTTTCATTAGCTTTCTATATTTGTTTGCTGTTTGATATGTTGCTTTGAAATCTTTTAGAAATTTATGTAACTAACACTTGGACAATACTTGAAACATTTACCTAATGTGCAATCCTCCGGTGGTGGAAGGAGAGCTAACCTTTCCTAACAGTTGGACCTGGAAAGTGGGATTGTTTGATAATATAAGACAGCATATTATATTTTTGTCTTTTGTTTGTGTTCATTAACTATGACTGAATGAACCATCAATTTTTTTTATAGTTTGCTCGAAGTTATTATTTTGTGTTATTGTAAACTCTTTCCTCGTGCAGAGATGTTGCTTTATTGTTAGACCAAGGATTTAAAAGCCAGGAATTCTGCTTCTTCCACCCTCTGTCAAATGAAACATCAATATGTATGTGAGGCACACTTTCGCTTATTTACTCTTTTCCTTTATTCAACTTGCGATGCATATGTTGCCGAGACTTCAGATTTTTAACAGTCCAAACCTGACTTTTAATGTTATTATGTACTTTCCCCTTGCCAGATGTTGTTATTCTGTGTTTCACTCTTCATTTTGATGGCTGGTTTCATTTAATTGGATTTGGTGGCTGTCTCTGTGAACCACGCATGCCTCCCACATATATCTTGCTCTATAACTGTGAAAGTGAAAACTTGTTTTTATTATAGAAAAGTTCTTCCATGTATATCTGACATGACATTGGAATCTTGGTCTTGCATACATGTGGATTAATCAGTTGAACTTTGCCTGCTCTATTATAAGTTAGACTCTAATTCTCTTTATATATTTATGTCTCCAGCTCTTAACACCACCAATCTCGACAAGTTCCTTAAATCAATCGGGAGAGACCCTTCATACATTGACTTGGAGGTGAATCCATATCTGGTAACCATTGTGATAATCCAAAAAGTTTATTATTTGTTGATTTTTATTCCTTCTCTGCAGGCTAATCCTTCTGTAGGAAAGGATCAACCCCCCGATCTTGCTGGACTTGTTCCTTCTGGTTCTGCCTTTGTGCCCGATACTCCAGAGAAAACATCTTCATGTCCTGGTTCTAATGAAAATCAAGGTGTTGCGGACAAGAAGTCTAAGGCAGCTGCAGGTAGTATATTGAGCTTATACTTATGTAGGACAAAAAGATAGGGGAGACAAATTAGTATAGGTGATGAAATTGTACATGGATGTTATTGCTTCAGCTTCAGGACTTACGGATTAGACTAACTAACTGTTAGGTTGTATAGGGTTTTCTAGTTTTGCCTTTGGGTTTAATTTTACACTTATATAGATATATTTGATTTCCTCTCCGCTTCTTTTCCGTCCATGATTCTTGCAGAATAATGTATCTGGAGTCAACTGATTGACCCTAACTGTTCTATGGTCTGCTATTAATGTTTAGAAAATTTCTTATGCCGGCTATCTTAATGTTGAAGAAAGCTCATATGTATTCTTATAAGATAAATGCATTTGATTCATTCTTGTTTTATACTTGAGGAAAATAAAATACTTCATAATGCCTGGTAGTTTATTAATCATGATGATTGGACGGGTTGTTCTCTTCCCTCGTTCTCATTTAGGAACTCAATCACAATATAGCAGCCTGAATGGTCTTCTCTTTGCTAAAGTAACGAGTCTCTCTCTTTAAAATAGTGAAGCCATCTTCTGCTGTGAAAGCTGGAAAGGACAAAGCCGTACCAAAAGCACGACCATCCTATGCAAATGTGGAGAAATTTGTCGAAGAGATTCTTGAAAAGACATCGACAATAGTGCTTTCAGAGGTTATTATAACACCGTTCTTGGCATTAGTATACACTTAGTTCAAACTTGTTCTGAACTTACAGAACCAATTTTGACAGCTCACAGAGGAGACTGTTAAAAAACATGGAGAACAGTTGGGAGATGTGGTGTCAAACAACATTAAGAAACATCTTAGCTCGGAGTTGAACAATCTTTCTGTGAGTATTTTTCTTGGTTTTTTTTTATTTGCTTCTTGGGGAGCAACGAAAAACAACTTTAAGAGCCATGCACACTTGCCGTTTCAAAGTTCAAAATATTTGTATTGCTTACAGATCTTTGAATTTTGAGTCAAGCGGTTATAAATTTCGTATGGTTTGTGATTCATCTACGATTGCAGATGATATTTAAAAACAATGCATACACAGAAGGGTTCCATGCTGGATCTTCCCATAAAGTGAAGCATACGTGCTGATATTTTTGTCTGCTTGTGTTTCCAATTGAAACTGAAGAAGAGAACTCTGACAAAAGGCCGGGTAATGGCTCTAGTTATGTTCAAGAAATTTTAAAAGATATGGTGCCAAACTGTTGGTAGAATTTTTCATAACAATTTAAGATTTTGGTTCTCTATAAGATAATCCATCTTTAGCACCTCTGAAATTTATTATTATTTTCATTAACGTATCTGATTTCATTTGCTGGTGATTATGTTTCCCCACTTTGGCCTTTGTTTTGTTAAGATAATGACCACCAGCTCAGTATTGCTGATGGGTCGCACGGTTCAGGTAATTTATTTAATTTTAATGATCAGGGTGAATTATGAATTTTGGTTTCATATCAGCACTTGACGACCTTCTTGAAGGAGGTATACAAACACGTTTGTGCCCCTGAAATTTGCGCCAACCTTTAATCTACCAATAAGGTATAGACTAAGTACCTTGTATCATTTAGGCTAGTTTAGTTTATCACTATTCGTGCATTTACATGTTTTTCTTCAATGCTTATTCTTGAATCTTTATTGCATAAGATGGTATAAAATAGGATAGAAATTACATCCTGCCCACGTAATGGAACATGGATAATGTTTTAGTTTTGAACATGGAACATGCTTTTTTGAGCAAACACAATCAGGTGTGAGATATGGTATGTTGGAGAATGTGAATCTTTTAGGACAATCTCAATCCTGCAGATTAAAGAGTTCAAGTAAAATACGAGTTATTTGCAGCATTACCCTTGACATTAGAACGGCTAAGGAAGAGAGGTAGAATGAAATAGAATATCTCGAATCAGAATCTGTGATTGAAAAAATATATTATTTCTTTTACCAGAAATATGTTTACTTTTTCAAAATAACTTCTTATGTTTTTATTTCCAGTTTGGAAAATTTGATTAAATTTTTATTTTCTATTTATTTCTAATACTACCTTATCAAATATAGAGTGGAGGTATATGAACCTATAATTTCTTTAGAAGTAGGGATGCCTTGATCACCAAGTTTACTATGTGCCTTACTTTTCTTTTTTGTCATATGGAGTAGCTTTCTTTCGTTTTTTTTTTCCTATTTCTAGAAAGTATTATCAATTATTTTCTTTTCCCGAAGTTTTAGAATAATGGTAAATAGGGAAATGATGCTGAGATATTTGCTTAGTTTTGAACATGATTTTGCAGCCCATTAGACAGATAATGACTGTTAAGAATACACCATCATTGGGGAGACCCTTAATTATTGTATTGCATCTTTAGTGTATGCTCATACAAGCTTTTATTTAATTGAATACCCCTTGTATTTTATATCAATACTTTTAGCCACCATAATCTCTAGAGGAAGAATTGTGGCGGTCCTGTGGAGGACTGAGCTGCCTATATCTACTCCGAAATGGCCTATTCACCAACTGACCCCACCACCTGGTACATCTTCTCCCAATCCCTTCTTCATCTTCAGAACTTTCTGCCGCTTGATTCTCCGGCGGTGATGGCGGCATCTCTTGCCTGCAAACCGGACATGAGTTGTGAAGTCGAAGCCATGGCACTATGCACTCCGAATGGTATACATGCTTGCACATCAATTCCCTTGCTTCTTCCCCAATCTCGAACTCCTCCTTACAAACTGGGCACATCGAGTCGTTCTTCAAATGTTCCGCCGCTATCTTCACCGTTGGGATTCGCTCTATTGCTGCCTCGCTTGCTGGCTGCGGCCCTGGCCGGTCGTTCTGCGTTAGTTCTTCGATTAGCTCGTCGAGTCGTGGTCCAGTGAAGTAGTCTCCTGGGTCTGCTCTCGGTGGTATTATGGTCTGAACTGGCCGAGATGGGTCTGTGGGTCTGAGAATGATGAAAGTCCGAGACCGGTTCTGATTTGGGGGTAGCAGGCTGGAGTTGTCCCTCTCGTCTAGGCTTCGATTGCGCCGCCTGGTTCGCCCGTGGAACCATTCGTCGCCTTCAGGATCACTAAACGATCGTCGGTCGAAATTGTCGAATTGGTGCGACATCGGACGACGGCGGTCAAGGTCGGGGAGTCTAAAGAGCCGAACAGGGGGGTCGAGCATCAGGGAGAGGGCTTCAAGTAAACGAGTCTCGGGAGAGTTATCAAATTGGGGGCGGGTGAGATGGAGTTCTTCGAGGAACTGGCCTGAACAGCGCGAGCAGATGAGCTCAGACGGGTCTCCGGCAGTGGCGAGGGTGACCATCCGGTGGCATTGGTGGCACCAGTATAAATGGAAGGAGGGTCTGGTATGGCGAGATGAAGCAAAAGACATGAAAAATGGTGTGATTAGTTTAAGTTTAGTTGTTTGGGAAAGGGAATCAGAAGATGGAGAGATTTTATGTATATGGGGAATGGATGGAAGGGAGGGAGGGGAGAAAAGAATGGCTTTCTGGGTTCACAGAAGCAATTCTTTGTGGTGTTTGACATTGACATTGCCATTTCTGTATCCTGAGGTTTGTGTTACTTAGTTTCAGAGTGTTCCGTGGATATGAAGAAAAGGATGAGTGGAAAGAACAATTTTTGTGTTGTGAGTTTTGGAATTGAGGGAAGAAGAAGAATTATGGGCTTTTCATGCTTTAGTTTAGTGGGCCTTTTAAGTTATTTTCGGATTATGAGGCCGTAGAGAACCCTTTGGGCCGAACCTTTCCTTAGGTCGCTAATTTTTGGGCTCAAGCTTTTATTATATCCGGCCCAACAATAAGAAAAACGACCATTCTAACTCATTCAACCCAATCCAACCCAACCAATAATATATGCTATATTAATATCTAAAATTTTATAAAATTTCAATATCAAACCTTCCAAATTTCAAATATTCTTAAATCTTCGTAATAATATTAAAATATTCTTAAACATTCCCAAGTTGTGTTATACCCCTATTTTCGGGTTGGTTGGGTTTTGATAGAAAAAGTTTTAACCTTGAATTTTTGGTTTGAACCCAAACCGAAAAAAGATCGAACACATCCCCAACCTTTATATTTTGGGTTGGGTAGCTCGGGTTGATCGAATTTTTGGATTCTACGAACACTATCTAATACCACACACACACACACACACACACATATATATATATATATATATATAATTTGAATTTAATGGTAGGTTTGGATGTCTTTATTTAGTAGGTAAGTATATAGGGAATAAGGAAAAAGAAAGCACATGCTACACACTTTATATTTTGTCCATATTATTTAAAACAATGTTCCAATCCAACAGTTAAGCCAAAAAATAAAAAGGAAATAAAAAAAATAAAAAGAAAAAAAAGGGAGTGAATTAGGCATATTTCCTTTTGAAATAGAGGACCAAATTTCTTTCAAACCCAACTGCGTTGCTATTTTGTTTTGACATATAAACCCCAAAACCAAAAACTCCCAAATAAAAAGGGCCTTTCTTTCACCACTTCCCAATTATATACCCTTTTCTCTTTGTTCATCAATTTAAATGCTTGCATTATTATTCACACTTAATTGTAGGTTTTTTTTTTTTCTTTTCAATTTTTAGACATTTCCACTAATATTTATATATAAAGTTTTTTCTTTTTTTGGTTCAATAACATGGATTTTAAATTGTTTTTTGTTTGCATTTAAATTTGGTTTTTTAACTATACTTTTAAGAGGCTCAAATCATTGTGGCTGAGTCTTTAACTATTCAATCTTCTATCCTAATTAAAAAAAAAAAAAAAAAATTATATTATCACTTTTTTCTTTTCAATTTTTTATTAAATGTTTCTAAAATTCTTATGTTTTAGCTAGTCCAATTATCTGTATTTGATTTGAGCTCTTGAGTTTTTGGATCTTAAATTAAATAGTGAATTCAAGCATAGTTAAGTAGAAAAAGATTAAAAAAAAACATTAATTATCATTGGTTCGATCTTCAATCCTAAATAAAAAAGCAAGTGATAGTAAACACTTACTTTTCTTTAATCAGTCAATATTACACGAATGATCTGTATATTATTTAAGAATAAACTTAAAACACTCTACCATCAAAAGAAGACATGGTGGTAAGCCATTTGATTTGAACTTCACATCCCAAGGAATAAACATGGGATCATGAAAAAAGAACCCAACAAAAATGTGAAACCAAAAATCATAGAATAATAAGAACAATGGGGAAAGTGAAGAAGAAGAGTACAAAAATAAGTAGAAGACAATGCAAGCATAAAAGTAACAATAATGAAAAAAAAACGCACACACACTGCTTGTCTTCCTCCATCTATGCTTTGTTGTCTGTCAGAGACAGAGTGTTGGTAGTGATTAAGCTCAGCAAAACCCATGTTTTGATTTTTGGCCATTTCCCAAGAATCACATTTCTTAAGCTTCTTTTCTCAACAAGTTCAGAGGTTTTGGTTCTTAATCAAATCACTTAAAGGGTTTTCTAGGCTTAAAACAAGAGGTTTTGAACTGTCAAGAGGCCTCAAGAAGCATATAAACTAAGGAGAATAGGAAGGAAAAGTATAAGGAAAGTTGAATTAGAAGTGAATCTGAAGGGAAAAGGGAAGAAAAGGTTAGTGATGATGGGGTTTGAAGAGGGAGTTTTGTTGATAGAAAAAGAAGAAATTTGGAGCATGAAACACATGATGGAGGCATGTGGTAGTATGTGTAAAAATTAAGACCTAAGTGCCCAAAAGCTACCATTATCCAAATGGGACACAATCATCCCACATGCCTTCCTTCTCTTACCCATCATAAAAATATCTCATTTTCTTCTCTCTTGTCCCCCACCTCCCCGAAAAGAATTCAAAATAAGTCTCGAATCTTAAACTTTCAATCTTATATACAATAAGATTGGGAAGGTAGGTGAACCAATGAGATACTGATATCTCATATACTAAAGAAATAGTCATTGAATTGAAAGAAACGACGGAGTTGGATGTTTGAAGTGTTCTCAAAGTCATTAGAGCTATATTGGCTACAAACCTCCCCTTTTTGTGTCTACCTACCCGAAAAAATAATGGTTACATAGTTTTGGGTTTGAAATCAAGACTATAGACTTGTTTAAATGAAATAATAAAACATTCCATAAAGATGGCTTGATAATGCAGCTATATAGGTGGGGATTGAGTTGAAAGGCCCCTATTAGACACGTTCTATGAATAGACATAAACGCCTATTAGACACGTACTATTGAATAAACATAAACGCCTATTAGATACGTTCTACTGAATAAACATAAATCTAAGACATAAATCTAAGACGTTTGGTGGTAGGTTAGGTTCTTTAGGGAGGCATTGGGTTTGGGCAAGAGAGTTGAAATCTCGAGAGAGAGAGAGAGAGAGAGGTAGATAAAGTGGTGTATTTCATTAATATAATATACATTGTGTGTACAAGTTGCAGTGTAACGATACTGATAGGAACTTAAAAACACCTCCGGTGGGTTTTAAGCCACCAGGGTTTTTGCTTTTATGGCTGTTCTATAAAAGTTAGCAAACCTTACATATCTGAACCGCAAAATTTACCGTCCATTCGATTCTGAACGGCTTTGATGGCGGCCACCCTGGCCGCATTGGCCGCTCTATTAGCAGCAACCACGGCTTTACTCACCTGTTCATCCATCCGGGGAAGATTTATAGCATTCTCTGCTGCCTTTCTAGATGCCTGCATTTTGTATAAACACAATCAGAGATCGTAACTCAATTCACTGTAAAATAGTTACAATTCTCATAACAATGGTGACTACAGATCAATGGATGGATTAAGATTAGTGTAGGTACCTGAACGGCTTGGAGAACGGCATCACTTAGCGGCGAGAGAGGATGCTTGAGGTTGCTAGCATCCCATTCGCCGCATTTGGCTTCGCCATTTCGAAAAGCATACTTGCCGTAGCCTTGCCTATGACCTTCATGCCATGATCCTTCATAACAATGGCCGTTTGCAAAATGGTAGATTCCGAAACCATGTACTTTGTCCCCAAAGTATTCTCCAGCGTATCTATCTCCATTTCTACAGCACAAGCAAATGAATTTTGAAATTCTAGTTAAATTAATGTACCCCCAACAGAAAACCAGCCAGCTAGTTTCTAAAATAAACAAATGACATTTCAATGCTAGATGCGTAAAGATCAAGATAATTTATGATATGGGTCCATCGTGTAGAATTCTATATTGCAGCTTAAAGTCAAATTGAGTTCACAATTTTTTATTACATGTTCTATCTCCTGGTGGATTTGAAAATATTGTGCACAGTGAAAAGAGATCAGGGAATTCCAAACAGAGACGTTTCTTTGTTTAAAGTAATAAGAAATAACCAAATTGCTTCAGAACCCAGATGCTAATAAATCTACAACAAATTGAGAAATAGCCTGGAACCAGATCGCCCAAGTTACCAATTCTAGCAAGATTACGTTTATACAAAGATAATTTATGCCAATAAAATCAACCAGATTCCTACCAAAACGCAACCAAATTGAACTTTGACATCTTACAACCAAATTTTGGGGCTCAAATATATCACTGTTGTATGAACTGTAAGCAATTAAAATCCAAAAAGAGTAATCCGATGAAATTCAAGCAAGAAAGCTTCAGAGAAACTGTTTGGAGTTCAAAAACAGGAGGAAACAAACCAAAACAATTGAAATTCCTCAATAATTGCAAAATTTACCTGAAATAGTAACATCCAAGACCATGCTTAACGCCGCGCTTGAACTCGCCAACATAGCAGCTACCATCAGCGCAAGTCTGAAGCCCAACGCCATGGCTTTGCCCATTACACCACCCACCGGCACAGGAATCCCCCGTGTAGAACTTATATACTCCAAATCCATGTCTAAGACCCTGTCGATACTGACCCCTGTAACGACTCCCCTTCGCCCAGCTCTCGACGCCATAGCCATCGTACCTCCCATCGACCCAATCTCCTTCGTATCTCCCACTTAGGAAATAGTTGTAAACCCCACTTCCATTACAACTCCCATTGTAAAACTCTCCCTCGTAGAAATCGCCATTGCTATAGTACTCTACGCCCTCTCTGATTATTTCCCTCTGTTTTACGGCGTCGTCTTCGGCATCGTTCGAATCCCCAATGTACCATTGGATCGGAGTCGAATCCGTTCTGGAGAAACAGAATCTGTTCGCATTTTCGTGCAATGAATGCTTGATAAACGAAAGAATCTGTAAAATTAACCGCTTATTCTTGCTCATAAACACAAGCGTAATCGCAACAAAAATCAGAGCCAACAACAAATTTTCAGAAGGGAGTAGCCCATCCTTCCTCAGAAAGAAGAAAACGAAGAGCAACGAGAAGAAGATTAAGCAAAGAAGCAAAGCAACAGCAACAACACAGTTCGCAAATCGGTTCGATCCTGTTCTCGGCGATGAACCCGACCTACGAGACTTCTTAGGCCTCTGCTTCTCTTCATCGTCATCCTCCTGATGACCGACCATAAAATCTCCCTCGTTAACGGACGATAAACTATGAAAAGATGATCGGAAAGTCGGTGACGAACGGAGTAACGACGACTGAGTTCTCGTAAGCTTCAACTTACTTTTCACGCCATCCATTACAAGCCCGTTTACGACCGAATCTTCAAGAATCTTCAATTCACCTTTTCTCCTTCAAAAACCACTCCTGTACCTCGAAATACTTATCATCAAAGCACTTCTGTGCTCTGCCGGTAACATTCCAGGGAAACGGCGCAGGATCAGCAGTATCAAACTGCACAAATTAACCAAAAAACACAAATCCGAAGGAGAAAATTGAAGAAGAAATTCAAGTTCCTTACGATTTCTCTCGATTGTTTGTAATTTGGAGATTATAAAGAACGAAGAAGAAAATGGTGCGAATCGGAGACGACGGACCAGGTTTTATATATTTAAACTGAGAATCGCTGGGTGGGGCCCGGTAAGGAATTCCGTGGAATCTGGGCCGTTGATTAGTTTGACGGTCAGATTGAATTGTGCGACGCTCCGGTCTCCGCGGGATGTTCACGGTCGTCGGATTCAGATTCAGGCATAATAATGATTCCATGTCAATGATACTAGTTTAAGCAAATGCATCGTGGTGTAATCACCGTTGAAATGGAAATCATGATTCGATCGGACGGCTGGAACCACTGTAACCGTAGTTTGTTGAACGACGCCTAATAATTTTAGTTTATTCTTTTTTTTATTTTGTTATTTTTTATATCTATTTTAATATCCAAAACTTTTTTTAAAAAAAAATATATAACTATTTTATTATTGTTAATATTAATAGTTATTATTTACCGATTAAATTTAATATTTTAAAATTTTGTAAATTTCATCATTTACTACCAAATTTTAACTTAGAATAATATGGTTGAACTAAAATATATCAAATTCTTAGGTAGAAATGGAACGGTTAAAAAATGAATTTGTAAATAATTAGGATTTTTATTTTATTTTAAATGCATAAATAGTAATAACAAATTAATTTACAGTATGGGTGAAAAATTTAATGGTAAAAAGAGTAATTAATGAGACTTCGGAGGGCAGTTAATACCCTTTTCGGAATTTATTTTTTCTGTAGAGGTCCTTTTCGTAAAAATCTTCCGTACTTTAAATTGCGTGATTTACAAGAAATTGAATTTCTTTTTCTTATAAAAAACGGTTTATTAATAAAAATATTCTTAAAAAATTTAAAATACTTTTAATATAGATTACTAATACTTTATTAAAAATAAATAAAAAAAACCCTTAATTGTTTAAATTAAAAAATCTCCTTACATTTATTTATATTTTTAGAATTATTTTTTTTTTACTTTTAATATATGGACGTAAATTATTTATTTATTTTCAATAAAGTCAGTATCTCAAAATTTATCTTGAATTACAAATAAATGGTTTATTTTAAAATTGAAATTTATTATACGCGATAAAAGTGCTTTTTTTTTTAGTTTTTAAAAAAATGAGTTGAGTATTTTTTAAATATTTTAGAGAATTTAATAATATTTTAAAAATAAAATTGTAAGAGTTATTATTATTTTATTAGAAATGAAGAGATGGTTGAAAATAATTGGGATGTGATTATGAATTATGTAAACATAAATAATTTAATAATAAGATAGACTAGTTCATTAATAATTTATAATTAATTCATTAAAATTTAAGTATCGTAAATCAGTATTTATTATAATAATATTTTATATTTATATAATATGACAACTTAATTTTTTTTTTTTTTTTTTTTTTTTTTTTTTTTTTTTTTTTTTTTTTTTTTACTTCTTACCCTATTAAATTATTTTAAATTAATTTGAGTTTCGTAAATAATTGACATGTTTAAAGAAGATGGAGTAAAAGTATAACCAATTAACTCCTTTCCACAGTAGGTAAAAGAGATAACTAAATGCAGTAAAATTTTGAGTGTTCCAATAGGTTTAACAACAACTAATTGTATCAGAGTGAAAGTAGNTTTTTTTTTTTTTTTTTTTTTTTTTTTTTTTTTTTTTTTTTTTTTTTTTTTTTTTTTTTTTTTTTTTTTTTTTTTTTTACTTCTTACCCTATTAAATTATTTTAAATTAATTTGAGTTTCGTAAATAATTGACATGTTTAAAGAAGATGGAGTAAAAGTATAACCAATTAACTCCTTTCCACAGTAGGTAAAAGAGATAACTAAATGCAGTAAAATTTTGAGTGTTCCAATAGGTTTAACAACAACTAATTGTATCAGAGTGAAAGTAGTATGTCACAATTTATCTGTCAAATCAGGTCGAGCAATCTCCATTGATCTTCCAATTAGTGAAGTGTAACAACTCGAGCCCACCGTTAGCAAATATTATCCGTTTTGGCTCGTTATGTATTGTCGTCAGCCTTACAGTCTTAAAACATGTATACTAAGGAGAGATTTTCACACTATAAATATTTTATTCTTCTCTCTAAGTTGGACTACTTCAGAGAGAATGTCTTCTGTAACGAATTCATGGTAACTATATACTCATGCATTCTCAAAAGTGGTCCATTTCAAAAGATAATATGTGAACTTCACCATTATCCTTTGTGAATGTTTTATCAATTGGGTTGTGCGGCCTCTTAATAAGAGTTGCTCGAGTAGCCTTCGAGATCGTAGGTTTAAGCTCATTTATAATAGAACCGACATAGGACGTACTACGATGCCTTTAATTTTGGCACTACTCACTGATAATGTAGATCGGTAAGAATTATAAATAAAGAAAACGAGAACAACTCATCGCATCGGTCCGTTATTAAACCAAGCACGTTATTAGGTTTTTATCGAACCGGACTAAATTTTAAATTATTTGCAATTTAATTATTATTTTGCTTAGGAACCATAAAATATATTTATACATCTTATTATAATTTAAATAAATTGACTATATTTTATTATTTTTTTAAGTTGTAGTTAGGGGCCAAAGTGTAAATTGAGTTGGTCAATTTTATTTTCTTTAAAATAATTTATCGAAATTACGGACGACATGTCGACATTTAACACCATATAAGGGCTCTGGAGTTGGATGGGAACCCCATAAAGTCGATGGTTCTTGCCGGAGAAAAGCCATTTCACCGTTAACCAGTATTCCGGTATGTGAAATCTTCTTGTTCTTACTTAGTCATAATCGTTCTTCTTCTATCTTCAATTCCTCTCTGTCTGTGTTCAATTTAATTTTGCCTAGTTTCATTCCACCCGATTTCTTCCATCATTCGATTTCATTCTTTCTGCAAAGAGGAGCGATTACCTTGCAATGTGTTGCTAATTCTAGTTGCACATCAAATTTGATCATTTGGACTTGCTCATTCTGTTATTGAGGGCAATTAGGGTAGTGTGAATTGAGGAACGGATGTAAACAGAAATGTAGGTTTATGGTAGGGTTTTAGAGCCTTCGCTCTTGGTAATTGGTTGAGGATGGATGTTGATTTAGAAGGAACTAGTTCTGCGTTGATTTCTGTTTTTTTTATTCTTATGAAAAGATGGAACTAGCGTTTGACTGTGTTTGCCGCATTGATGAATTGAATCCTCCATGGACACCTCTTTCTGATAGTTAACTGTTCTGGAGATGCATGATTTTGAAATCTCATGAATTATTCTTTTCAAGTGTTCTAATCGTGAAGTTGAATTCTTCTGAATGTTTTAATGTGCTTGCCACATTGATGAATTGAACTCCTCCATGGACGCCTCTTTCTGATAGTTAACTGTTCTGGAGATGCATATCTTGAAATCTCCTGAATTCTTCTTTTCAAGTGTTCTAATCGCGAAGTTGAATTCTGCTGAATGTTTTACTGTATTTTCCACATTGATGAATTGAATTCCTCAATGGACACCTTTGTGATAGTTAACTGTTCTGGAGATGCATTATCTTGAAATCTCATGAATTATTCTTTTCAAGTGTTGTTCTAATCGTGAAGTTGAATTGTGCTGAATGTTTTAATTTTGTTCGCTAACATCTCCTCTTTCTCTCTCTCAGCTAACAGTGAAGTTGAATTTCGCTGGTGTTTCTCACAAGTAATTGAGCTCATTCAATTGCGGGGGAGATATGGGAAGCCAAGATACCGTTAAACATCTCGAGGAGTGTTCAGTGTCAAAGTAAGCTGTCACCTCCTACCTTTTCTTATATATTGTTATCATCTCTGATGCGTTTTCTCCTTTTTCAATTGTTGAAAACCGGATTATCTGCTTCTTGAAGGGGAAAAAAAAAAAAAAAAGGAACTTTAAAATGTTTATATGGCCATGATTTAAACTTTGGTAAAACAACCTAGCTGTTCTCGTTATCTATTTTAGCTATTTCTAAGGTTATTTGGCTAAGATGACAAACAATCTTATGAAGTTTTAGAGTTTGAAATCTAAACTAGATTGTTTTGTCATTGTAATCTTGCATTCCGCTCATTCGAGCATAGTGTTTTGTTCATTTGACCAATGTTTATAGGCACCCTCGAGGCTTCGCCTCTTGAAGAGACAAGAAGCAAGACGCAAGCCTTGAGGTACTATAAAGTGTAAGCCTCAACTTTAATCTAAAATGACATCTTTAATGTCGCTACTATTATCACTAATAGGATCAACTTAGTCTAGAAATTCTAGCCTTCAATGTTTTTATAGCTTAAGTAGTAAAAGTAGCCATATTCAAATTGTTACAACTCGACCCTTTTTACTTTAGAGAACGATGCAAATTAATATCATTTTACGAGGTATGGAGACTTCAAGCCTCTCATGGTCCAAAAAAGGGTGAGTTAGAGTCCCCAGCCTCAAATTATAAACCTCAATAGCCTTTAAGCGTTGATTTTGGGTTGATTCTTACTTGTCATTGAACATTCACACAGTGCGTTGGGAACTTGGGTATTCTCAGTAGCAGGAGCGTTGCTAGCAATTCCAGTGGGAATAAAGAGGAAGTCACTGGCACCCCTTGTGTTTTTTGGAACAACTGGTACAATGCTTGATATCATAATGGGAATTAGTGCCTGTGAGAGAGAACATGCTGAGCGTCAAATGAAGCTATTAGAAGAAGCCCAAAACTCTGCACCCGAACCCTCGGTTGCTGAATCCCAATCCCATTCTTGACATTGTGCTTACACGTTTGTGTCACCTTTGTGGCATGGCCTGCCCTGCCCTTGGCTGATTTCTTCAGCCTTCTTTCAAAACCCAGGAACATTTCTGCCTTCACTTTATTGTTTAGCAATAAAATTATACTTTAGACCAAAATTCTCTTGTTCATGAAGGACATTGAGAATTTAGTTTCATTGTTCCCTTGAAGAAATCGTTCACAGTTTCATTGATTTTTCAACAAATTTAAATCCTGAAGGCTTATCTTTCCCTAAGAATCCCAGTTTGCAGCATATGTGAAATTTCAGGATAATTGCTTCACATGAAGTTTGGCCTTGAAGGACAAAAAAAACTCAAAAGCCATGTAAGAAACATAATTTTCAATGCCAAAAATAGAAAATTAAGACTCTGTTCTATTTTAATTTAGCTTTTGGTAATAACAACTTCAATTATAAGGAGGAAGTCGATTAAAAATTTAAAATTTTGGTTAAATGTTCAAATCTCTACTCTTTCGCCGAAAGAAAAAAACAAAGCTCTCATCAAAATTTGGGTTAGTTCTTCCATATAGACTGTAGGAGCTAATGCAAATTGCAACAAATGCACCAATGAATGAATTTCTATACAACATTCTTGTTCCTATTCATCTAGATGAGGAGGGTAAGCAAAGCTAAGCCAAAATTTTCAAAATCTGCACCATCTTCACAGCTCTCCAAGCCCACATCAATGACCATCATCATCATCAATATCACATTATCACAGACTTCTATAATCCAGGTTCTCTTTAGCCCTTCAAAGATCCCTCTCTTCTAAATTATAATTCAACTTCCAATTCCAAAAATCTCACCTCTAACTTCTAGCTTCTCTTCATTTTTTTTTCTAATTTCTCAGTGTTTCTAATCCTTTCCCATGGTTTCCTTCTGCTAGCCTAATAATTTACATACACCAGGTGATCTCATTGGCTTATATATGTACATCATGAAAGGAGGGATTCTTAAATACATGCCTACCAGGATTTGTAAGTGTCAGTATGTAGTATGTCGGAGTGCATCTCCCGATCCGCCAATAGCACGCTGCCGGTGTGAAAACATGAAGTAGTAGGCCGTGTACTACAAACCCGAAAGGGTACTCAGAGCCTAGCTGTATTACAGGTACTAGCATCTAAGAGTTTTGAAGCCTGACTTGCTCGTGTGCTTTCGTAACCTCGGAACTGAACTTTTCCAATGCCTCAAAGATGGGAACCAAGCCGGCCTGTATGCTATTTGAAGCAGCATTGTGAACCAGTTTAATGGAATCCTTGTGTTTTGCTCTCTCGTCGTATAACTTCTTCCTCAGTGAATCCAAATTAACTTTCAGATCATCCGGTTGAGAAACTTCACTTTCAGAAGGAATTTTTGAGACTACAGTTCCTCCTGATGCCTCATCTTGGTCAGATTTCAACATAGCTCTCTCCATTCTTAAGGTTCTAAGGTGTTCTTCAAAATCCTTGTAAAGGAAATTGGCTTTGATCCTCTGACGTTGTTCCTCATCTTGCCTTTCCCATAACTCATGCAAGTTTAAAGCAAAACCATGAATGGCACCAACCACTTTGTCTTCTGAAATTTCGAGCATAGCTTGGTGCCAATCATTGCAAATAATGAAAATCTGTGGAGCTCCCATCCGACCTGGTGAAAAAGGAGCAATACCATCAGCAGTTTCTTCAGGCTCGTTGTTAAGGCATCGTAGGAGCCATCCATTTAACGATTCGACATAAGCTTTTTGGGTACGAATCCAATCGTTAAATCTAGCGCACCAGTTGACAAGTTCCATTTCAAGATCCACTGTAGCTTTCAAACTCTCATCTCTTCTAGATCCCGTTCTAGCTTTTAATGACCGAATCTTGCTCTCCATCACTGCTTGAAATTGTTTCTGATGGCATTTTAGAATAGATCGCCACATCTTTATCCACCTACATGTAACAAAGAGGCTTTGATAATCAAGACCAAGTCAAGCTACAATGATTCAATAGATTGTAAAAGAATCAACCAATCAAGAACTTTAGTGTTAGGATACCCATGAATCAGCTCAGATAGTTGAGGCTGCAATTCTTCTTCCCGCAACCTATGAATCCTGCTTGATATAGCATCAGCAGCTTTGATACAGATGTCGATCTTGGTTAATATCTTCCTAATTGATGCATGAGTAGCATCAATTTTAGTGGTATCAGCTCCATGGTCATCTAACCTTTTCAACTTCTTGCACAGTTTTTCATAATCAACACGTAATCTTTCTTCATCCTGCCAAAAAACACAGAACAGTAGTGAGAAGAGTGAATGTGTTTGTGTTCATTTCAGCAAAAGTAGAGTATAAAAATCAGATTTTAACAGTGTGCCTTCACCAGATTTGACGGGGTTTGAACAAATACCCTATTGCAAACGTAGCAAACGGGTCGGGGGCTATGAACTCGGGAGAGGAAAGGACAGTGTACACATAAATATCCAAACATTTAGGTTACCTAAGACTCTTGACAAGTTCATATTTGAATGCCTTCATTTAGGAACAACCATTGGAATCAAATCAACCCCATAATCAAGAAGCAAAAACAAACATAAAGCCATTAATACCTTAACTTCTTTGTACAGTTTCTTCTCCCATACATAAAGCTTCTCCAACGTAGATGAAAGGCTTCCATATTTCAACTCAAACTCATTGCCAGGACTGCCATCTCCAGTGTATGCTTTCGCCATTTTCAGCGTCTTATGGTCCA